GAGAGAGTGCTCACTCACGTCAATGGTCTTGTCGCTGAAGTATTTGATGTACTCGGGTCCCATGTAGAGAGGAGGTTTACATGTCATCAGGAAGACTAGACGAAACAGCACAAAGAACAACATGTAGCAGAGTTAGTGTTGGTAGGTCTCCCATCATCAACATCTTTGCTGGATTAATGCCAACAACCACAATACTGTATATGCTATAATAGTAGGCGCTGTGAGCAGCATAATCAACTCGGAAGTGGAAGGTTGTGGGTTCGAATTCCAAGTGAGACGCTGTTGAGCCAGGTGCTTCACCTGAACTGCTCCAGTAAGATACACAGCTGTAAAATGGCTGCAAATAGAAGTCTCTTAGCATAAAAAACATAAGCCATATATATTACTTAGTAATAATTCCTGGAGTGATTATTCACAGCGTACAGGTCCACTGACTTGCTCCAGTTTAATAAGGATTATTGAACTGCAGTTCCCCCACCCTGCCTGTACAGAGTGAGGGGACGCTCTAGAGTATTAGAACCGGCAGTACCTACAGTAGCTATCTGACTGACCTATGCACAAAGTGAGGTACAGCAAGCCCATCCTGATGTCCAGTCTGAAGAACAGGATGACGTTGGCCACCTTACTGAACAGGAAGATGTTCCCCACGTGCTGCTCCACAGTGACTGGAGAAGAGAAAGGGTTTTAAACACAGTTAACAGGTTTAACTGCGAGTGTATAGCATATTATACCTACACACATTATACACTATATACCACGTGTATGCCCCTGCTGACACTGAATGAATGTGTATTTCAAGTGTGTGCACAGCCCATATGTAAGAACACAGGCATTCAAAACAATTATTAGGAGGCCATGACTAGTAAGGGCCAGGGGAAAATCTGGCCAGGACGCCGGGGTAACACCCCTACTCTTTTCAAGAAACACCCCGGGGTTTTTAATGACCACAGAGAGTCAGAACCTCCGTTTTACTTCTCATCCTCTGCACTAAATGTGTATAAAGACCAGTAGTCAGGACATTGGGGTTAATGCCCCTACTCTCACTGACAGTGTCCTGGGTCTGTAATGACCAGCAGTCAGGACACCGGGGTAACACCCCTACTCTTTTCAGTCAGGACACTGGGGTCAACATCTGAATGACAGCATGTCCTACAGCATAGTGCTCCTGTTCCCCATTCTGAGGCTTGGCTTGAAAACTCTGGTCTAGAGGGAAGGGCGCCACCTACCGGTTGCCCACTGGCCTTCAGTACATTATTTGGGGTTTGCATGCATCAGGACAGGGGTGTCAGACTCACTTCCTTGAGGGCCTGATGCCTTCTGGTTTTCCTACCAACCAGATAGGATGTTCCTTAAGCTGAATAATCAGCTTTTAAACAATACACTTCATTAAAGGGACAGTTCATTACAAACACCTCAGAGCCAGGCTCCACATGTTACACTTCAGCAGTTTGTGAAAGAATCAGACCCACTGCGCGCCTGAGCGCTCAGGCTGCTAGAAAGCCGGACGCGCCCGGAGCCGAGACGAGCGCCCCTGTGCGACTGGAGTGTCTTACTGGCTCTCCGGTTCTTCATCATCACGATGGCACTGAGGAACATGAGGATCTCCACTTCCCTCTGGGGGTAGAGCACACAGCACGTCAGGGCGACAGGGACAGCACACTGACACGCAACAGCCCACAGCAGCCATTGCTACCACTACCAATCGCAACACAACCAACACCCAGCAGCTACAGCATAACTGTGCAACAGGCTGCTCAGAGGGGTACGGCACACGGCACACTCTCCCACAGCACCCCACACCCACCCACGGCACCTCACATTCTTCCACTGCTCCCCACACTCCCTCCCACCCCCACCTGCACCCTCCCGCAGCTCCTCACCCTACATCACCCCAGGCCAGTGGCCGCCCTCAGCCCCCTCTCCCCCTGTGTGTACAGTAAACACATCAGGGCCAACGGACACACCAGCTGCCTGCTGCCCCAGTGCTGTGTGCAAAACAGTACAGGGGTC